AATGTTTAGCAGCATTTATTCTTAATCTTAACATCCAAAACCTAATTTGTTCAGCGGTGACTCGGCGGTTATTAACTGACTACATTCTATTCTCATTTCTAGTCAAAACTCTGAAAATATAAAGAAATGTTTTTTTTTAAATGGAATATTAACTCTGAAATACAAACATATTGTTTTAGCCGTCATACACAATATGGCCCAATGCTCCAACACACATATATTGTTCTAGTCATAATACACAATGCACCTCATTTCGCAAACGCAGTCATATATGGAGGGGTTTTTAAGTTCGTTATCAAATATATATAACAGCAAACGAGTACAAGGTACATTGGCAAGTTATAAAACTCAAAAGCATATAAATTAGAACATAAAACATGAGCACAATTAACAAAAACCTGTTTTTTTTATCAACTTCACACTTAACATGCAATTAGGTTCACATCGTGATATCAAAGGCATACATTTGAGTATAACAGGTTTTTTTTTAATGTTTAATTTAGCAACTCATCGTTAACATGACTTTAAAGAAAATTTGGGTTAATGAAAATATATGCACTTAACTGTCATTTGTTCTGCTTTTAATAGTAACCTAAAATCTAATGTTAGTAAAAAAAAAAAAAAATATATATTTATTCATATTATTTATTATATATAAATGACGTTCTAACGTAAATTATAAATACATATACGCAATACAATTGCACCTCGTTCCCGTCCAGGGTAGACAGTGACGACTGTCTGCCCTGGACGGGCACGAGGCGCGGATGTATTGTATATATGTATTTATAATTTTAGATCACGCTTAAACCACTTTACCATCCGTGCAGTCTAGCACGGATGGTGTAGTGGTTTAAGCGGTCGCCACGCTGTTTCCTACTTCGCTGAGTGTTGTGGGTTCGAAACCCACATGGGCACTACTATGTGTGATCCACAAATTATTGTTCTGAGTCTGGTTGTTATTTGTGTCCGTTTCATGTATGTTTGTAAAGTCCCCGCGACACAGCATATATATATTCCAGATGTATATTCCTAATGCGGGAGTTGTCTTTAGCAAAAGAAAAAAAGATTTTATAAATCCAGTGTTTTGTAAGGTTTAGTTATAAACTATAAGGCTTGTATTTTGTAAGTCCAATATGTTTTAACTTCTAGACACGTCTTTTCTAAACTTCACGCACTTAATATTTTAAAGCAACAAACTCGCTAAACATTGTAGTATCGTCTTGCTTATCCGTCGACCGTAAAATGTTTAAGACCAAAAAACCCGCAATCTCTAGGGCCATTGAATTGTATATCTTGATGATAATGTGTAGGGATGTCCAAAGATTAATTGGGCTAAATGAATAATTTATTACTGGCTTTAAAAAAAAAGATAAATCTTGCGATATAAATTACTCCGGTGTTACAAAGATTTCTAAGTTGTCTAATAAATACTTTTCAGTTATTTTTTCTATTTCATTACATAACTTACTTGCAAAATTATTGTTTCGCGATCAGGCTTGTATGACACCCCTAGTCCAGGTCCATAGGCTACAAAGGCCATTAACTACCAGGCAGCATACATGCTTGTTTTTGTTATCATCATCTAAAACTTTTAATATAATATCAAAACTACCTTTTCCATGTTATGCCGAAATGATTCCTTTATTGTAAAGTGAAACAACATAACATCACTGTAAGCGTTTTTGTACCTTTATTTGTTTTATAACACCAAACATGAAATATTGACTACTTAAAACTCACCTGTATTATAATTTTATTTATCAATAAACGCGCTCAAACGTCGACCGTAATCGTAACGATTATTCAATTTGTAGATAAAGTAAGAAATGTGTAACATATAATAATATGATTTTATTATGAATGTATATATTGTGCATTTCTTAGTTTTTACGTATTATGTAAAATGTTACTGTTATCTATACTAATATTATAAAGCTGAAGAGTTTGTTTGTTTGTTTGTTTGAACGCGCTAATCTCAGGAACTACTGGTCCGATTTGAACAATTCTTTCAGTGTTAGATAGCCCATTTATCGAGGAAGGCTATAGGCTATATATCATCACGCTAAGACCAATAGGAGCGGAGCACCAATGAAAAATGTTTCAAAAACGGAGAAAATTTATTACTATTGAGAGACGCAGACGAAGTTGCGCGGGTCAGCTAGTTAATAATATGCAGTGTTTTTTCATTCAGTGTTTTTCGTTCCGGAATCGAAGCTTAAGATTTCCGTTTTTGTATGTTTATATCCTTAACATAAAAATTTGTTCGCTGTTGAAACTGTGCATCTTTCCCTTAAAGGAGCTGCCTGACCATATTTAAGTCCATATTAAAACAAGATAATAATAAAATAATAAAAAAAATAATGAATATAACTTACTTAATTTTTTCTCTTTTAATTTTTTGCTAATAATCCTTTAATTTTTTCTAAAGTCTTTTTTACGGGTCCCCCGCGAGAAATAGGAGGGGGAGTGGCGCTTGGGCTACCGAAATATTTTTTTTTGTGCACGAATGCTAGTTATTTATAATACAACCTGTTTTCTAATTCTTAATTGGTTTAAGTACTAAACTTCAATAGCCAAACACTTAGTAACCTTACTAACGTCTCTACATCCAAAAGAAAAGTCAATAGTCGTCGTATACATGACCATTATATCGAGTTGTTGTGCAGTTTTAGAAACCCAATAACGCTCACAGGAAATGAACCGGGGACCTCATGATTTCGCAGTCGCCGGTGCAGAGCAAAATTTGAACGGTAGCACAGCTGTCAAATGCATCTGATAACTCGAACCAAACTTCCTGTTGATCAGATTAATGTGAATATAAATGTGTATGTATACAATATGTATAGAAAACGTGAATGTGTTTAAAAAATAATAGGTTAAACCACATACATCTCAATGAATTCTGTTAGGAAAAGTAGGAAGCTTTATCTGCAATCCTATATTGATAAATGACGTAATATTGTTGTCAATCAATATTTACATCAATCATTGAAATAGGCATGAAAATTGACAAAGCTTTATTGAGAAATATGTACGGAGATGGTAATTTATGGTACCAAAAACAATTTAAACTTTCGGACTTAAAAACTTTATTTTAAACTAACATTTACTCGCGGCTTTGCTCGCTATAGTATGATTTTATCAATTAATTATGTTGCCTTCGGAAACTGTGCCCGAATTATCTGGCAATCGATGACATTTTCTTTGAATGAACCACGACAATCTATGTCCTTTTCTGTAACCCTGACAACGTGTATGCAAAATTATATGATGATCGGTTTAGTAGTTAAGGCGTGTAAGAGTTACAAACAAACTCAATTTCTCAGTTATAGTATCAGTTAGAATCGAGTACATTTAGAGAGTACATGGCAATTGAAAAACTTTTCCTACTCAAAGTTGGTTTCGAGTGCGAGATGGTATGCAATGACGAGATGCCATACTTCGACTAATCACAAATAGGTACAATGACAACACCTTTATGTAGTACATTTATATGAATAAAAATCAATGTTTATATGTTTGTTCTCTACGCGTTCTAAAACCATTGATCAGATTGTAATGAAACTGCGAGGCGAGAGTTCCTGGTCCAAAATCTAGTGAATTTCTTTTTTCGTTATTTTATTATACTTTACGTAGCACTAAAACGCATGCGTGGTCAAGCTAATTTTTACATTTATTAAATCAGCTAAAATAGCTACTAAAGCTATAAAATTGTTTATTCTCAGCTCCACATATTTTCATTACCGTATTGAATGTTACTATAACTTAAAGTTACCCCACAACTCAGAAACTTCTCATATTTGGATGGAATTTAATTAAATTATGTCCACAAGCTAAATAAGGACTTATAGCTATATATAATAGCTATATATATATAATATAATAGCTATAGGCACATAATAGTTTTAATTTTAATTACTGTTTCAAATATTTAAGTTAGTTCTAGAAAGCAATTGTTAAACTATTCGTAGTTTTTTTATATACTATATTCTTTAATTGTAATAATATTTGCTCATGTTAGAATGCTAATATTTGTTTTCGTCGACATTCATATTTCCTAAAATATACTTAGATAAATAGCTTTGCGCGTGAAATTGGTAGCAGTTTTTGAGGCCGTGTAACAAGAGCACACGTTTTATGATATTCGTGATACCTATTAGAGTGTATTATTGTGTTTAAAACTTATAAGAGTCAATAACCTCCCATGTCATGTATACATTATGTTATTATAGGAGAAACTCCAAATCTTTTTAGCGTTGTACGTCCTATTTAGACACCTTAAAGCCGTTGGATGTCTATCACCGCTTAATATTTACGTATAAAGGCGCCCCAAAAATCTTTGTTTGTGCAAACATTTGACTAAGATAGTAAAAATATTTTTGGAACACCGAAAGGTGAGCGGACAGAGGAAAAATGTCGGATACCTCTGTTATTTGAATCTGTTCAACATGCCTTTGTAAACTAAAGTGGCTTAAGAATACGATATTTTATTACATGTAGGACAAAACTTATTAAACCAAATTATCTTACGCTTTGTTTACACTGTGATTAGTAAACGTGTAAGGAGCACCCACATTGCTTTAGAAAGTGTTAGGAGAGAAATTGTGTCAACTTCAACTGTCCTAAACTGGCAGTAGATGGTCTGTCTCATCTTAAGTATCATGGATCTCTATCATGGATTTAAACTGTTTAAAATTTGGGACAGAATTTTGGGTTACGGCCCCACCCACATCTTTAAAGTGTGCTTTGATGTTACATTTTTGGTCAAAATTAAAATGTTTTAAATCAAACTAGTTATTGTTTAGACTGGTTAATGTTTATTATTATTACTTTACTCTTATTGGCTTTATCGTAATATTATATAGCTTATAACCCTCTTTAATAACCGGGATATCTACAGAAACAAAAGTCGTTTCAACAAACTCCTCAACTTCATAATTTTAGAGTAAGATGTTAAAGGTAAAAATATATTAACTTAACCGTGTCTTTATCCACAGCTTCTCACAGAAGGTAGACGAAGAGGAGGGGGGTGGCGGGGTCGCTCTTCATCCGCCGGACGGATTCTACTCACACCAGCGCTCGATCCACGCTCAACATGTCCATCACACCTCGGAGCCCGATAGAGGCTATATGGAAGGAAATAGATACGTCACTGCAGTTCATCGGCCACCACCTGGTAGGAGCAATTCCTTGATAATAAGTAAAAGTAGTAAAGTTTTTGACTGCTTCGGTGATGCAGTGTCAGCTTATGAACTTATGCTGAGGTCTCGGTTTCGTTTCCCGCGTCGGACAAAATGTTTGTTTGATCTGCAAATATTTGTTTTGGAGTTTGGCTGTTTTCTATGTAGGTATAATATGCATTTATAAAGACACCGCTTATTTTTATCGTATTCGATAATCTCTACTCTTTCTATTTATACAAAGATAACGAAATAAATCAATGGTTAACTACAGAGCAGTGTTGACGTGAGTGTTATCTGTCGATTTTAAGTAGTTACCGTCACGAATACCTACATGCTCGTCATTATAAGTAATAATTAGATATCGATATCATTTTAACTACATGTACTTTAAGTAATATTAAGTATATATGTTTAATTATCTTTAGATGGAATAAAAGAGATTAAAAAGTAAATATTGCGAAACCATAGATTATTTTAAGTGTTCTACTAACTAGCAGCATGACTTATAAAAGAAGTTAAAAACAAAATACTCAAACGATTACATTGTCTTCAGAGTAAACAAAGTTTTGTAATTATATGACGCTTGCAACATAATGTAAGCAATAATAAGTTAAACCGCATATTCCAGCATTAAATCACTCGAACTCGTCATGCTCGTCGGCGTCAAACGCGTCCACCGGCGCGGGGCTGTGCGCGGGCGCACAGGAACCGGCGCCGCCGTTGTACATCGCCGCACCACCAGAGGGCTTCGGTTTAGCCGTCCACAACAACAGGTCAGTGTAAACAGAACATCACATTTGGGTATCCGTCAATGCACTTTTTAACACAACACAATATAGCGAAACAGCCATAACGGGTGTTTCAGTGTATGGTACAGATTGTGTAAATTTTTTAAATATAATTATAGCCTTGTGTTCTGCTTCTGATTGGACTCCTGAATTTTTTGATAGAAAATTACTCTTACAAGGACGTTTTAATTGGTTTTCCGTAAGCAGAAGGGTCTTCACGATGCTACTGTGGCATACAAAAAATGATATGTACCATATCTTATGGGTTTAAGCTACATGAATCTTTATATAATAAACCTAGGTGTTTTCTAGGATATAAAGATAAAAGATAAAGATAAATAAAGGTAGAGAAACTGCCATCATATCAAACAAAAATATGCAAATTGTTCGTGTTTTTACCAGTAGTTACGGATGTAAAAGTTGTGTAATATTAAATTATGGTCTTTTTCTTTGGGTGTTTGTAACTAACTTGTATCATGTTTTCTGTACTTTTCAATTCCTTCCACACAGCCACAGGCGTGGCACAGACGTGTCCATCATTGGTACGACGGGGATAACACAAAAAGATCCCACGTTACCCCAAAAAAGGGGTAAATTGACTAGAGGGTATGTCGCGAAACCTAAGGAATGTGTATTGTGTGCCCCTTAACACCTAGATAACACTTTCCTATTTGAAATCGAAAATATATTTTCTACTATTTCTTTTATCATGACAGTGAAATAAGTAATCAATTGCTCATCCGATTCGTGTTGCAAATTACACTCATTTTCCAAGTGAAGTCTTTGTTTAAGTTTTATTTTAATTTAAAATTCTTAGTGAATGATTATTGTAATTACAACAATAAACTATGCAATGAGTATAGTAAATGGCTATAATTAGGGAAAAGATCGAAGAAGAATAAGAAAAACTTTGGATTTTATCTCATCTACAATTCTAATAGCCTTTTGATATTCAGTTAAATTGAATGTTAATGCCCAAAGGCTTTAATTCTATGACTACTTACTTTATTATTTCGTCTTTCAATGTAGATCTAACCTTGTTAAGTGTAATTTGCAACAGTCGACAATGATTTAATACTTTAACACTCGTTTAATTCAAGGCATGAAATTGAAGAATAGTTCTTAAGACCCTGGTCCACTTTCACGCATGTGTTAAGATAAAGGCCTTTAAAAATATGTCTCGATAAATAATTATTTATTTTTATTGATCAACTTAAAGGTCTACAGAGAATTACGGCAATAGTTTATAAGCGCATATTACATTACGTATATTGGTTTGATCTTATTCAATTTAAGACAACCTTTATTTGACATTGACATTTCAGTAAAATCATTATTTTTTTATTAAAATTATGTCAAATGGTGGAGTTGTCCAAGAAAATATTATGAATCAGACTATGATCTAAGTTTGGTCAGCGTTATCAGATTTTAATCTGATTTAACTTCTAAAATGTTATAAAAAATATCTAAATACGAAAAAGATCAATTGAAAGATTATTTTTTGAAAATCCTAAAGGTTTCTCTAATCGTCTTTTAATAAATAATACGATACTTTCCTTAAATTGGAGGAAAAACCCAAAATTGGTAACAGTGAGTTAAATGTATGATCAAAATGAATACAATTGGCAAATACCACCATCACGTTATTGGTATTACTTGTGAATTGCCTTTATAAAAAAACTTGAGTAAGATAATTTTGTGTTGATAATAGCACTCATCTCACTGTTCAGTGTTCATTTTACCGAATTGTGCGATATTGTGTGCAAATAGTAATTAAACACAGTACGTCATTCTGAACAAACTTATGCATTCACAAATATTTACATATCGACACTGTTGTTATGAAGTCATTGCGGACGATTCAAGGCCTTAAAGTAGTACTGAATCTTAGGATTCTTGTAAGTCCTTACACATAAGATTCTTAAGATTCAAACATGTCTTGTTGTATGGTTTATTTTTTATTTTATGCTTCATATTATTGATGTAGTGAAGGTGGATCAAATCCTAAAACCATTTATTGTCATTAAAATAAAACAATAAACATTTATACCGTCATAACCTCTAAACTGTGTTAACAGCATGTTGTTTTAAATACTTTCTCAACATCAAGGTCTTCTAGTGAAATTTTAATCATTCGTTATGTTCATTACTATCTTCTCTGAATTATTCTATCTTAGAACACCATTTTAAATTTCATTCAACTAAATGAATTAGTAGCTAAAAAACAAACAGTACACAAATATTTAAAACTATCTTGAGCTTGTATACTTACTATGGACATATTTTTGAGACTTGTAACTCTGCCAAATTTTAATAAGCTTTAAAATAATAAAGAATACATATTAACTACAATAATATTATGTTAATATAAATAAAACCTTATCAGGTAAAATGAACATTTATTTACCTGTAATGAAATATATATATATACATAATATAATATTATTTCATCAATAAAATGTTCCTTTTACCTTCACAAACATTGAATTTGTCCTCCCCTACAATCATGAATAAAAATTTCACTTTTCAGCCGTTATGAAATGTCTCAAGACCTTCTTGACAAGCAAGTGGAAATCCTAGAGCGAAGATACGGAGGACTAAGGGCCAGGAGAGCGGCTGTCACTATTCAGAGGGCGTTTAGGAGACGACAACTGTTAAAGAAATTCAGTGCAATTACTGCAATGGCAAAGGCAGCAGATTCTAACCAGAGGAGGCTGCAGGACGGCTCTGATCACGGTCAACTAGTCAATGGTAAGCAATTTGTGATAATAATTTGTCTGAACTCAAACCAGGCAGAGTCTCAACTATGGTAACCAGATTATTGATAAACCAAACTTATATTACACAATATATACGTTACATCCAGAAACAGAACAAATACTTGTAAAAATCGTATCCGAGACTTTTTGTTGCGCCATAATCCCCTAATCTAAATTTCTTTTATTTCAATCATTAGTTTAATGTCAACTGTCATTGTATAGAATTTCTGCCGAATTGATAACTGTTTTACATGTTTTTATAACATACGAATGTGTTGATAATTAAGTTTAGCTTTCTGCACTTCTTAGACATACGTACTTTTAGTATTTTATATTTTAGATTCCTCCGTTTGCGGCTTTGTTACCGTAAACAGTTAATACGTTCCTTTAACTATCATATAACTATACATAAATTATTTTCTCATGATATCGACTTTTACTCTAGAAATGTTATTTAATCAAAGTGTAGTATTGAAAATAATAGTAGGTATAACATTACAACGAGAGAGTGACACGCAACTGATGTTTTAATGTTTACGGCATTTTACGTTTAAAACTTTAATAAAAAACATTTTTATTACGCTCATGTTATTATTTAAAGAAGTTTTCTTCGGTTCGTAGTGTTTTAAACCAGCTACAAAAAAGGAGGTTCTCAATTAGCTTGTTTTTTTTTATGTTTCAAATCAACAGCCTTTAATACTGTGGACATATGCCTCTTCTTAGAAATTATTCTCATTAGGTTTTGGTCTACTATACCACGCTAGCCAGACGGGTTGGTTTAGGGTTTGTGTCGAGTTTTGCTTTTCTTTGCAGTCACAATACTGCAAAGAAAAGCAAAACTTGACAAAACCCTGCGTAGTTTGCTCCCTTAGTCGACTTTTACGACACCCGTGAACCGATTTAGAAAATACTTTTTTATTTAGAAGGATATCCTTCTCGTTCAGTTCTATTTAAATTTGAAGTAAAAATACTTGACTGTGAAAGTTAAGAAACGTGAACGAACAGTTTATTACAATTTATAGTTAAGGTTAGCTCATCGAAGTCGGTGATATGTAAAAAAAAATTAATAATTTTTATTTGTAATTAAGTTATTGACATCTACTTAAATCTAATCCCTCTAAATAATTTATCAATTCAGGTACAGATATATACGCAAACACACTGCTGCAGAAGAGTCCTGGAGGCGTGGAGAAATCGTTGGCACTGACGAGGCCAATGAGATCCATGTCATTAAGGGAACGACACGATATTGATATGAGGTGAGAACATACTATCTTGAGCACCTAATACTTAAATAGAATACATTTTGCTTGATAATAAACCGATATCGATATTTTAAACACCAGCAGCTCCAGCGTTGACACTCGAGTATTCATTTTAGCTAGGACTTGTTTTATATAACAGCCAAAATTAGGCAACTGCTAAATAATCTTTTTAAGTTTTCAGTTTAAGCTAAAGTAGCATTACAATAAGTTAAATATGTGTTATTGTTATATCCTATTCAGAAATCCACACTAATATTATAAATACGAAAGTGTGTCTGTCTGTTTGTCGCTTAAACCGCTAAACTGATTTAGATGAAATTTGGTATAGAGATAATTTCAGTCGCGGAAAGGATATAGGATAGTTTTTATCTAAGAAATCATCCTTTAAGAGGCTGAAAGTTTGTATGAAGAATCAACAACAATTAAACCTATTTAGATAAAATTTGAGTATGGAGATAGTTTGATTCTTGAGGAAGGACATAGGCTACTTTTGCCGGTGCTACGGTGCCGCGGGCAGAAGCTATTAATTACATATATACATATACTGTAGACTAATACAAAATAAAACAATCAAACTGAAGACTTGAACTTGTTTATTTGGTTAAAAGCGATAATCAGTCAGATTTCATTGAAATTTTTAATTGCATACAGTATTCATTTAAATATAAGATGTATAGGCTGTAAAACATTACGCTACGACCCTTAGGACCAAAGCAGAAATCATAAACGCAGGTGCAATTGCGGAGAATGTCTATAAAATAAAGCGTATGAATTGGTATTATTCTAAGTTCAATTAACATCATATAGCCAAGCGGACTGCTTTCTCCATTATAATATTCGACATTGCTTCAGTTTATAACAGTATTATACGAACTTGAATCAAAACTGTAAGAACTAGTGCTGGTGGAAGCATCAGACCATGCAGGATATAAAACTGGTTCTACTATCATTGTCACGTACATTAACATTTAAATCTCAAGGAAGTAATTAATGTGTCTTCGTATTTATTCATTGTTACTATTGCAAATTAATTCCTGTCCGTCCGCGACCGCTAATCATAGCATTTAATCTCGTTTTTATTTTACAAATCACTTTTAATTGCGTTTAAGTAATATTTTTTAATCAATATTACTTTAGTTATAAAGTAAACATTGTAGAAACATATAATATCATTCTGAATACTGAGATTATCCCAAAAAAGTCAACGCATATACGTTATATCAATTTTTTTAATCTTTTTTACCATTTTTCACACGCTTTGGGAACATAAATAATCTCAAAATGTACCTTTAATCTCCTCATATTTACATGAATGTCGGTTTTCAATTATTGGTATTATTACAAGCTACTTTACAGAAATTAGTCACCTACGAAGCGTGGAGCGAGTCGTTTGCAAAATTTGCTAAGGTTGGCACACGTTATGTTTTAAAAGATGACTGCTCTGTATACTTTTCAAAAAACACTGTATCCTTCGATAGACAGGTTTCTAGTAAACATTGAATAAGCTTATATGTAACAACATTTCCCAAAATTCGGAAAGGACAATCACTATAGCAATATGCCCCGACTTTCGACTTCTTTTTCGCAGAAACCAAGACGTATCTTCAATAAAGCGTAATGCCTTAAATTTGTAATCAAATATCGTACACTCTTGTTATCTTTACTGCCTACAGGAGCTGCTAACATTTGAATGTTTCAGTACAGTTCCCTTGCAAACAGTAATACGCTTTGTGGAAAAGAAAATAAGGTTATTTTTTTCTTGAGCTATGTTATTGAGAATTTTGGATACCGATGAAGTTAATAAAAGTCAGGCAAAAGGTGTCCGTATCAGTCTATCATACCCTAGAGAAATACCTGAGGTTTATTGAACACTCGATCATGGGCTCTTTGATAGTTATTACGCTTTCACGAAACGTGAATCTTTTGTATTACCTATTAATTTATATTATAACCCATATGCAAAGTTTTTATTAACCTTTCTTATAATATTTACAGAGAGAGAATATGTATCGTTGTCTATGTTAGCGAAATAATCACTTTGTTAGGAGTGTATAGTAACTTGAAATTTAGGGGACTATTTTTACTTATCTGTTGTCTACAAGCTTTTTAAGATATAAGTGCTACACACTGTTGTTGTTGTTTCTGCAACGACAAATAAAGATAAAAATAAACAAGTACTACTAGTACTTCGACATTTATACATATAATTCAATGCACTCTCACGTCACCTACTATTATTGGCGATGTGTGTTCTCAGAGAAAGGCTTCCTGTCAAGCTCAGTAACAACTTTATTAGAACACCTTGACACATCGCACATAATATGACACTAGATTTAGTTCATCAATCAGACGGATTTTTTTTAATCAAATTATTTATATGTTTTCAGCAACCACTTATCATGCGACCCTCAAAGCGAGGTGGAAGCCATGGTGGCCCGCGTGCAACAGTCAGCTCACCAAATACACATGATTGCGGCTGACATGCCACCGATGCACCGTGGTGATACAGACAGTGGGGTAAGAAAGATTCTTGTAACTACGTCATTTTGTTTAATTAAGCCTTTATGTATAAGCTAAAATCTCCTTTCTAAAAAGAAGCCTATGTCCAGCAGTGGCCTACTAAAAGCTGTTGATGATGATGATGACACAAACTTAAGTGTATGAATGTGTGAATAAATATGTATTGTGTATATGTAATTATGTTATATTCCTTAATTAATCACACCACATAGTACTATAGAGTATAGTCCATCTAAAGGTTGCCTGTATGAGATCGCAGACTGCGATAAGGCCTCCCATCGATAGTTTGTTGCTATTATGTGTGTGTGTGTGTGTGCGCGTGTGTGTGTGTGTGTGTGTGTGTGTGTGTGTGTGTGTGTGCGATCTGACTTTAGAGTCAATATCAATGAAGAAATAAAGATATTTTGACTTTAACAGTGTACCACTGTTTGTTTTTACCGAAACGTAGTGTACCGTGTTTTTACCATACCGACCGTAGTCACCCCGTAGAATATTACCAAAGTAAGAGGCGCAACAGCGCTCCGCCTTGGACGATTTATTTGATATTTAGTGTCGTTCCAAGACTCGGTGGAACAGTCGGCGCGTCAGTCAGCGGCCAAAATAGACAGAGGTAGATTTTAAATCGAGGTATAGGTGCATTAATTATAGAATTGAATAAACATTTTTAAATTTAGCTGAACACGAGATTGTACTTAATAATAGGACCAAGTTCTCTAAAAGTTAGTAGCAATAGTACTAAACGTTATACCTACTTGTTATTTGTTTATTCACATAATAAAATTTTATGAAAAGAAATAATTGAGATTTTTTATGAAATATTTTTTATGACGGGGTAATCTTGTTTAAGTAAATCTCTGTCGCGGAAGAATGAGCTAGGAAATGTGTACCTACATAAATCTTACACTGATAAAATATCGGAGACATTCTAAACAACAAGCATCCCATTATAACAATAATTATCTGTTATCATCCTCTTATCATCGTCATATGACGTTTCTTAAGAGTAAAGGCACCATCACCTAAGTTTTCTCAGAAATGGACAGGTGTAAGACGATAGAGGTTGTCAAAAGAATCGGAAAAACTAAAAATGTGCCGTTCTTGAAGAAGCTGAGAAGATTACAACTATGGGGTTTTAACACTGGAAAGTATAAAGTGTGTGTGTAGTTTCGTTTATTGTTCATGTGTGATGTACATTGATCTTAAATGTTTTTTTTAATAAGTACGTGATAAATTTAAGTGCAACTATTAGATGTTTATTTATGTATTAGCATCTATTGACGTCCTTGTGTGACATTTTGAAGTTCCTTGAAATGTTGTATAAAACAACATATTTCAGATCAGTAACCTTTACCACACAAGTTACTGAGTAACTATTTTAACTTTATAGGTAACTATTTAGGTAACAAGTAAATTTATTTCCAAATTTAATGTCTTATTGACTGCATGGATGGCGTCGCGGTTTAAGCGGTCGCCATGCCGCTTCCTACTACGTGTTGTGGGTTCGATCCCTACATATGTCGACACTTTGTGTGATCCACAAATTGTTGTTCTGAGTCAGGGTGTTCTTTGTGTCCGTTTCATGTATGTTTATAAAGTCTGCCGCGACACAGGATATATTCCTAATGTGGGAGTTGTCCTTAAAAAAGAAAAGAAAAGGTAAAATCATACCTTATGCTAAGTTTGTGGAGTGTGGTTTGATGTTTATAAAGTGTTAATGTCACTCCGTTCTATTTGTAATTTACTATCCATTCTATTCTTACAAAACGATCGGAGCTGCACAAAAAGGCCTTAAATTGTATTAAATGCTGCCAATACTACGTTTCGTATTCTGAAAACTTGCGTTGAAATTTGCGTCATTAGTTTGACAGAACCAAAACTTGTGTGAACTTACATAGTCAATTTTGCTGAAATGTAACTGTCGTTTTAAAAACTGTTCAAAATTAAATACGTCATGCTAGACGCCACATAAAAATATATTGACTAACTTTAGTGATATTGATTTCTTTAAATTTTTGGACCTAAACTCTAGACATCAAAAATTATTGGGGAAAACACGTACGGCGAGGGAGCTAGGGTAAGGATGGTCTCGAATTCGAAAACTGGACTGCAGTGGTAGCTCAAAAATGGCCTTATCGACGCCCAATTTCGCGAATGTTAATCTGAGAGGCCAGTAAGACAGAAAATAATTCAGGAACTAATATTTAAATATGTCGCTTCTGCAGCAACTACTGGCTCCACCACTAATATTCCTCCTCTTTTATTCCAGGTTTGCAGCTGTTCAGTGAGCGGATCAGTGACAAACATATCGACATCCTCATCTCACAATGAATCTCTACACAATCACCAGCTGCTTAACAATACAGGTTTGATTTTTTTTAATACTATAGGTGTGACACTTTACTAACAAATTTAGTTATTCTTTCGGCTTCTAACAACTACAAGTTTGGTGATGACTTTGTATAAGAAGTTATACATTATAATTACTATCATCATCATTATTTGTGTCTAAGGATGTCACCAGCTCTGAAACTGTGTTTTATATAGGCTTACTAATGAGTTTCGAATATTTTAGTTTTGTTAATATTGCTTAGTACAAATAAAAGTGCAACATTTATATTTAAAAATAATATATTAGTGCTCCCATACTTTTTTCTTTCTTTCCATTAGTTTTTTTTTAACATTGTTCAACGGCGCCAAATATACAACATATGGTTATCACTTTTATATGTTTTATATCTTTAAACATATTATTTATCTACAAGTAATTGCATTGTCACTGCTCTGGAATGTTATCTCTAGTGTTATTTATGATATATTTTAACAACTCGTACCATTAATGAAGCGCTGTTATCAATCATTTATCAATCAGCCATTATTTGTTCAACATCAACTAATTCTTGAAAGTTGCATTTCGTATTTTATTATAAAAAACGGTTTATTGTTGGCAACGAATGTTTTTCAAATGTTGTATTATGTCCTAGTGGTGAAATATAAATGATATCAGAACTGAATTGTGTTTACTATCAAGTGTTTTCTAACTTTGAACTTTCACACAGTGTGATTAGGTATACTTTAGCTTGAAAAAATTAATAACTGTATAATGGCAATAAATATATATGTGCGTTCTACGACATTTGAAAACGCTAATGGAACCTATGTAGGTAAGATTAAGTTATGTTAATGAATTGTACTGTAAATCAATCAATCAATTAATGTTATCTTTTCATAGCTCATCTCCCTTTTTCATAATCTATGTGAACCTGCCATGTCCCTTACTGAACCATCTAATGGTAGACTGGTAGATAATGACATTTGGCATTTAGACCGCCTCGTGCAAGTTGTAATGCAGGAAGTGTAAATAAAATAAAATTAATCAGCCAAATGCAGTCCACTGCTGATCTTGGGGTTTTGATACTGGGATATTTAGACTGATGACTTGGGAGTCATTCGCCTTCCTCTACCACTTTACTCCAGCCAACTTCTCAATCTTCAATATATATATTAAAACTAGCAGTCACGCCCATGCACAAAACAACAAATGGTTTCCGATGACCTTCTTTGATTATAGTAGTCCAACAAAAATTCTAGTTGCGGTTGATCATAACGTATCATTTTGTATACGTATAGCCATATAGTTTGTTATACATACTTTTAAAATAATAAAATACTTTCGAAATTTTTTCCCGTTTTATTATTTTAGAAACAATATAATATAGATACTAGAGGTGCCATACTACAGGTATGTGCCCGACCCAGTTCTCGAGAATGGTCGGGCCACGTTGTATTGAGATCGATCTATTATCACAGACAGGACTATTGTTGCTAATAAGCCTGATATTGTAGTGATGTCCTGGTACCTGTACCCGATGTCGGTGGTCTACTATTTTTTATATTTTTAAATGTATTTTTATTTCTTTTGTAATATATTTAAAAATGTAATTAATATGTATATATAATTTAATAAAGAGAATAATATAGATACAAACTATTTTATAAAAGCCGCCTCAAATAGTGGCATCCTATAATTAGATAAACTTTACGTAACTACATACATGTAATATACCATCGTAATTAATATCAACATAACCTTCCCCCAACATTTGAGAAAAATTACTAAATATTTGTAAGTGCAACTGCTATATGTCTTATATTATTCTAGGTCCAATTTATGGGAACCTGCTATCCTCAGGCGGCAAGCCACTGTCATCGCCGACGGCCCGGCAACAGCAACAGTTAGCAGCGATACAAGCGGCCAACGCCAGGCGGCTGCCGCCAGATGTACCTAAGAGGACAAGCAGTATTACACTCAAGTAAGTTTTCAATTATCTGTATATTTTAAATGCATGGAAAAAAACGTTGTAACCCCTATTTAAACTAGGGATGGAATCAAATAAAATTTCTCCTGAGATAAATCATATTGTTTATAGATCATATGATCACACCTGTGACCAATTTTTAAAACCACCGCCACTTATTATTATTATTAGGCTAGCGCAAAAGATCTATTGGATTTAGCCAGTATTTCAATAAAACTCTTGTTAGATTTCTTTATAAACACGATAAAATATATTTGCTCACAAGTAACATTAGTCTAGTAATTCACAAGAGAACCAGCAAAAAAAACTTAACTTACACATTTATAAAAGCAGTCCACAACAAAAAGGTTTAAAGACACCTATGAACTGCTTTATAAATTTATTTCTTCAACAAGATCTAAATCTAAAAAAAAAGGTCGTAATCTTTGTTAAAACCAACCTTTGTTAAGACCTAATCATAAACACAGGAGAAATCGCTGTGACTAAAACCAATCATATCATCATACGAACCTGATTAAAAAGTAGCAATAATTCCCGTGTCTAATTTAAACCAATACCACACAATGTTTGGAGTACTTAATGTTTATATAAAGACAATGTGTAGATAGATAAAAAAGTAATTTAAAGTTACATAAAATAATAAATGTCCAGTATAATTAGACCTATTACCGTATAAAAGTATAGAAAATGATAGTTCAAGTTATACTGGTCAAAAAAATTAAACAAGACACCCATGGGATAAATAGAGGTATGGACGCTCCGTATTCTCAATTAGTCACTACACGGACAGGTAAAAAAATACTTGATGATGACACAAGAGTTTGATTAAGTCAGTTGCCGATAAACATACAGTTTTCTATAGAGTAGTAAAAGGATATTATGTAGTTAATATTGGATACCGAATGACAGCTGTAACCTTGTTAATCGGTTTATGACGCAATACATCTAGTTGTTGTTTGTTTGCGGTCAAGTGGTGTTAATAATTAGTGTCAATATTTGTATTAATATAAGTGACGATGTCGCATATCTTATCTTAAATCTATAAATATTTTTAGGATATTGCCATTATAGGCATTTATGATCAGGAAATGATATCAATGAATCCGTGTGGTGACGGATTAAGGACACGGAGTGTCACCATCCCTGTTCATGCCGTGGGTGTCGTAAAAGTCAACTAAGGGAGCAAACTACGCAGGACACCAGCACTGCAAAGAGAAGAAAAACTTGAAACTAACCCTATACCAACCCGTCTGGTCAGCGAGGTGAAGTGGGCCAAAACCTCCTTTCTAAATAGAGGCCTATGTCCAGCACTGGACTATTAAAGGCTGTTGATGATGACCGATGATGATAATGTTTTTGTTCAGTGAAAAATGTTCCTATTTTATTTCAGGTTACTAGACCAGCTGGCCTGCCATTATGATTTAGTGGAATTATCACAAAATCTAAACACCTGTTTGCCTTCTTCCAGTGCCGAAAGTCCCGTATCCCTTCGTCGCGCCGAATGTGGTGGTGCAGTAGTCCGAGGTGGATCCATGTCATCAGTCCAGTCGTCATCGTCCTCGTCCTCACAAGAACACCGCCACCACTACCATCAGCCGTACCAGCCAAGAGCACCGGTTAGAACTTTATTTTTAACACTATATTCGTTTTTTTTTTGTTTAAGAAAATTAAGTTCCTCGATACTTTGATTACGATATGAACCAGTTCTAAGCATGTATTTTTGACACGGTCTTGCCATTTTCTTTTAAATGCCTGCCTAATACCTAAAAACTAAATACCACCCCCAAAATGGAAAATTAAGTAATGAAGAATACAGTTCATTACTACTCATCGTGATTTAGTTGAAGTTTATCATTATAATATTAAGATCAACAAACGACTAATTTATTATACGGCGAGTAATAACTGAGGCGGAAGAACTAAAACCTTACTTGACAAGTACTAGCAATAATAGTATATAACTAGCTGAGACCCGCGGTGTTACCCGCGTTTGTTATTATAACCGCGGGCAACGCCGCGGGGCGAAGTTACTCCTTATGTCATCAGCTATCTGCCAGTGAAAGTCCCGTCGAAATCGGTCCAGCCGTTACAGAGATTACCCGGAACAAACAGACAGACAGACAGACAAAAATTGTAAAAAATGATATTTTGGCATATGTACTGTGTAAACATACATATGCATTTAGTAAAAAGCTGTTATTTTAATATTACAAACAGACACTTCAATTTTATTTATTTGTATAGATGTATATTCTAAATTATTTGTTCAGGGGGTCTAGTCGTCACGGTAACCGCGTTCCACGTTGCGATTGGTGAAGTGTCATGTGCGGGCCAATCGCAACGACGAACGCGGTCGCCGCGACGATCAAGTTCATTTGAAATAAACTCATACTAGCAATGAAGCAATGATAGTTATTGATAGCATTGTGTTCTTTATAATAGTTTTCTTTAATTTTAATAAAAATAATATAATCTAAACCATCAACCATCGACAGCCCTTACTAGTCTAATGCTGGACATAGGCCTCTCCTTAGAAAGGAGGTTTTGGCCTACTATACCACGATGGCCAGACGGGCCGGTATAGGGTAACGATGATTTAACTTAACGTGTAATATATACATTTAATTTTACCTTCTTCTTGTCAGATGTTAAACAGCAACTATAGCATGACTCACATTGTATACTGTATGTTATGAGTTATAAAATAGCACTTAGAAGATTAGATACAGATAACTTACTGTATTGTTTTAATGTGACGGATTTTCCACATATGCGCGTGTGATAAGTATATAGCACGCGGGGTTGTTGCTACGCTGTCGCCACAATATGTGTGGTTCACAAAATGATCATACATAAAACAGGTTATAAAATTACAACAGGTTTTATAAAAAAATATTTCGATGTTAAACCCTTGATATTCTTTGATCGTCTAATCGTTTAAGAGATAGCATTCACTGAATCTATTTCAAATTCCAAGCATGGACCCAAGCCAACATAAACCTGCATATATACCCCTTCAAGCATCCTTTAAAAACTGCATTCAGACATATGCACATATACACACAAGTTTTTCAACTCAAGTCCACCCTCACGTATCCCCGCATGTCACAGGAGCCGCACGTCCACATCCAAGAACCAAGTTACCAACACCAGAGAACCGGCTCAGCCTCAGGGTACGAAGACCGGTATTCGGTGTGGAAGCGTCAGGACGCACCACCTTACTACGAAGCTTCTCCCCAAGGAGCTTGTTGTCGACCCCAACATGAACACCATCAGCATCCACATCAACCGCTCAAGGTATGGTGATATAATAGTTGAATGCCAAGTCAAATCAGTCTTTCATTATTGACTATCAAAACAACATGATACGTCATACTATTTCTACAACTTATAATGAGAAGAAAAGAAGAAGAAGAAAAAAGTTAATTTATTTTGACCTCTACCGCCCACGCCTGGTAGCTTTACTGCGATCATGAGTCACCTGTATACAAGCTGATCATATAAACTATTTTTATATAATTTTGTTTTCCACATTTGAGTTGAAAATGAATACATGTATATATTTTTCATATTTATTTCTATTTAAATTACTATTTATATTATTACGAAAATATAAACAACTAATGTTCTTTCTGCCATTTACAGGTTTCAGAAACAGTTCGCAAGCGTCAATACCGTGTTGGTCTGAATCATTTCAACAAGAAACCAGAACGAGGTATTGCGTACCTGATCTCCCGCGGCTTTCTTGAGAATTCCCCACGAGGAGTCGCAAGATTCCTCATCACAAGAAAGGGGCTCAGCAAGCAGATGATTGGAGAATACCTTGGGAATCTGCAGAACCCATTCAATATGGCTGTACTAGAGTGAGTTTATTATGACAATGATTTTAGAAGTCTGTAACGCCAAGTTCTTCTAATTCTGTAGTAGGTTTTTGTGTAGTAGGTATGTAAGTTGGTAAACACGCAGAGGGCTAGAGTGACGGTAATAAACTCTTCCGACACCTCTTGTGTCATTTGTCAAATACAAAGGGACAATGCGGTCCAACGATTGGTGTTAGGAAGTTGAATGTACATTCCAATGTGCAGAGAACTTTTATTATAGCATACTGATAGTTACTACGTAACTCATATGGTTTTCGCTAGATGTCGCTGAAGTACTTTTTACGTTTCTTATGTCTATTGTTCTAAAGTAAAATAACTACGCGATTAGAGAGGTATCCTCAAGATGTACTTTGGGGACTGGCTTTTATTTGAGAATAATTTTGCTGCATCATTCCTTTTTGTAGTGATTAACGGTTACCGTAGTCTATTCATGAATTTCAAATAAATTATTATTATGATATTGTTATTATTCAGGGTTATGACATGTTGTGTTATTGTGACCAGATGCTTCGTGACGGAACTGGACCTGTCCGGCATGGCGGTGGACGTGGCGCTGCGCCGCTACCAGGCTCACTTCCGCCTGCCGGGCGAGGCGCAGAAGATCGAGCGGCTCGTCGAGGCTTTCGCGCGACGGTACTGCGTCTGCAACCCTGACTTCGTCCAACGGCTGCGGACACAGGACACTGTATGTTATAAATACTCAATACCATTTTACGATGATATGTTTAGTAAGGAAAACCTGCGGAATGTTGTAGGATACAGTACAAAGAAGAAAAAAAACTATTTTACTAAGCCAAAATTTGGCATAAAAATGTGTTTGAATAACAGACGAGTGACATCAGAACAGTGATCAATTACGTAATATTCGATTCTGGCATGCTAAGCTATTGCCCTTTGTTATTGCAGTACTTACATCTCTATATCGTGAGTGTAAATTGCAGTCTAGTACAAAAAATAAACAGCCGTGTACAAAGGTCCAAACTACTACCGGTAGACATTTCTTCCAAATATGCATGGTTAATAGATTAAGGTGGTATTGTAAGGTTATTATATAGGAGGTGATTTTGATAAGATATTTGAACATGATCGGGAATTCTAAGGTAACCTTTGAGAAGATTAGCGGTATACAGAAACAACGTTTACCAGCAGTGTAAAAGTTAATAATAGGTCAAAATAAAGCGGATTTTAATAGATTTTTTTCCTTTTGTCAGATATTCGTCTTAGCGTTCGCTATAATAATGCTGAACACGGACTTGCACACTCCCAACCTGAAGCCCGAGTCTCGAATGTCGCTGGACGACTTCGTGAGGAACCTTCGGGGCATTGACGACTGCGGCGACATCGACCGCGACATGCTCGCCGGCATCTACGAGAGGGTCAAGACCAGTGAGTTCAGGCCTGGCAGCGACCATGTTACGCAGGTGAATAACTATAATATTTACACAGCATTCGTGGATTTGTATGTCAACAGACTTTCTAAATATTATATATAAGTACTACTAGTACGAGTTTAACATCACGAGTGAAAAATATATATTCCTGACCCACACCAATCGTCCATTTGATCCTAAAATAGATGTAGAGTCTTAACTTTAATAGTGCAGTGTTTGAATATACTGTAACGAAAATCATCGGTAAATATTCGTGCCAACAAATATTTGTTCTTGTATATGTGGTCTAAGGAGAGGCCTACGTCCAGCAGTAGACTAGCAAAGGCTTGATGGTTGATGATGATGATGATGATGATATATGTGGATATATAACAACAAATATTTCTTGACAAGCAATAATTGTTTATGTTTTTTTTATATTTATGTTTGTATGTATATATTAAAAACAAACATCTAAATGTCTGAAAGTCAATGATTTATCTTCACGAGTTTCGTATCTCACATACACTAGTCAAGTACTCTGGGAAAATATAATGATAACCGTGTGGTGTGGTGCGGCAGGTGATGAAAGTGCAAGCGACGATAGTGGGCAAGAAGCCGCACCTGGCGCTGCCGCACCGGCGCCTCGTGTGCTACTGCCGCCTCTACGAGATCCCCGACATACACAAGAAGGAGCGCCCCGGCGTACACCAGAGAGAGGTACGTTCTATCTTATAGCCGCCTCTTTACATTCATCGATAAACAATTTGATGTTAATGAACAATATACTTCATAAATTGGCCTCGCTTTAGTCTTTGTTATATAGGTGTTTTCTTTTTCAATCTGCCTGATTAAAACATTTTGCCTGTGTTTAATATGATTGTGAGTGTGTCTCTGTCTATGCGTGTGTATCTGCAATTCAACATAACACAGTCCTAATATATTATAATACTCTAGTTCATGAACGAGCGAACAAAAAAAAATCAGTGTTAATGCCAAACTATCAAAAATGATGTGTATCTATAATACAATTTTTCTAGAACAATACCTTAATGACTAAAACTACTTGTTTCTTCAAAACTTTGTAAATATTTTATATCATTATTTTTATTTTATTTATTAAGGCTCACCAACATTTATAAAAGCAAATATAATTAAATATTAAAAGACACCATTCATAGTTGCCACAACAATAGTGTCACAATCACTTCTAGGCAAACACAACAAATAAAGAAAGTAATATAAAATAATTTCCACAGTTGATTCCCATTATTATTATTACTGCACAATACATGCATTAATTCTTCAAAATTGGCATACACGTTCGTTTAAGGAAATGAGATGACCTAAAAATGTCACTAAAAGGACGAAATCTCATGTTAATTTTCAGGTGTTCCTATTCAACGATCTGCTGGTGATCACAAAGATCTTCAGCAAGAAGAAGTCTTCTGTCACGTACACATTCCGCCAATCGTTCCCACTGTGCGGCATGCTTGTCAATCTCTTCTCCGTACCGCGTAAGTTATCTTAAATACCCATAGCTAATTAGTAATAAAATCCTTAAGATGTATTCGATTCAAAATCGCCTCATTTGTGGCTATTAAAGAAGTTTCTAATCAATCTCGTTTCATTCCTAAGTTTAACGTGATTCCTTGTCATGGTGTAATCTCTCGTTCCAGACTATCCATTCGGCATTCGTCTGTCTCGGCGCGTGGACGGTCGCCGCCTCGCCACGTTCAACGCGCGCAACGAGCACGACCGCTGCAAGTTCGCTGAGGACTTGCGCGAGAGCATCGCCGAGATGGACGAGATGGAGGCTATGAGGATTGAGGGAGAACTCAACAGGGGGAAAGGAAGGTCCGGAGGGAACTCTGCCAGAAATGGTAATTTTTAGTCTGGATCGTGATCTACCAGACTTACAGGCCCATATTATTTAAAAAAATCTAGAAAAAAAAAAAGTTTATTTTTATAAGGAATTTTTACTTTTAAATTAATTATGAACACAGTTTTTTTTGTGATGACTAGTTGTTAACTGTTACAGTGATGGAGAACAGAGACAGCGGAGTAGCCGACGTTGAAATAGATCACCAGCAATGCATGGATCACGTCCATATGCATGGGTATGTCTATATTAATTATTGTTTTTTCAATCTTAAATACAAGTAATAAAAATATGAAACAAGTTTTCACTTCAAAAACTGAGGGCCTAGTGCAAGTTTATTTCACATCAAGTAGCTCTCGACAGCGAGCGCGTTCGATGTTGTGATTGGTGGAGATTTCAGTGCGGACCAATCGTAACGTCGAACGCGGGCACCGTGAAGATCGAGTAGAAATGAAATAAACTCGCACTTGGCCCTGGGATCAAAATGCTCGTTACATACAAAAAACTTGATCCATCATGGTACGGAAACTCTATACCACGATAGTTCCAGTTAAACTAGTCCATATAGGAAACATAAAGTGATAATTTTTCCAGTGTCGTGGTACCTCCGCCGCCATCTTGCCCGGCGCCCACCGCGCCACTGCGCCTGTCACAGAACCCTCCACCCACCAACATCATCAAGAGGAATGTGCTGAGCAACTCCCTTGTTGACATCAATGATCCAGGTATGTTGTAACTATTATCAATAGAAACATGGCGAACAGTTGGAAGTAATGGCAATATTAATGTAAATTTAATTTTATACTCAAAAATAGTTTTATTGAGTGGCAATATCCCTGGCAATGGCAATACCCTCTAAATTGTTAATGTTGTATTCGAAAGATCAACTACTGTTCTGTATAAGTTTTCAAATATTTTCTTTACTAAGTTTAATTAGATGATTGAAAAAAAACGGCGTGAGGACTATTGACTCTCGGTCGTCACGAAATTCCATTCGCTTTTTGGTAGACGTTTGCTATAAGTACAGTTATTATAATTTATATTATAAAATATCAAGTTAATAGAGTTAAATTGTTAATAAACAGTTAAATAATGATAAATTAAATACTGAATGATCTGGGATAATTAAGTTAATAACAAATAAAAAATCAGCAACAAGTTGTAACTATAGCAAGAGGTGTCGGAAAAAAGTCTTGTTATACATTTTTCGGTCTCGCTCCCATCCGCACAGAGCGAGTAACACGCGATACGGAACTTCGTTTCAATAATATAGTATGACAAGTAAAAGAGTCGAATCCCTCTGTTGCAATGTACGTGTGTGTGCCCCCAGTGGCGCTGGTGGTGGAGCGGCTGCAGCGGCGCGGCTCGGTGGGGTCGCTGGACAGCGGCATGTCGGTGTCGTTCCAGCACGGCAGCCGCACCGCCCTGCACGCCTCCTCGCCGCGCCACCCGCCCGACCAGCGCTCGCCCGGAGGTACGACTCACCCCGTACTCCAATACGTACCATTTATTTCAAATATCGAACAACTTTCACTCATAGTCGACGTTTGTTATCCGAGCTAACTTTATAAAGTCTGTGTCATCCTTTATTTGTAATTTTCACCTATAGGAGATGTATCCTGAAATCGACAATATTCTCATTATTCTCGAAGTGAATTTGAATTTAAGAAAAATCTAAGTAATATAAAATCTTATTCGCTCGCTCGCTTATTATACATGACATCATAATTTTATGACACAATATATTTTTGTATTCGTATCATTTTTGAAACAATAAACATTAAATAACATTAAAAAGTGAAATAAAGTCAATTCTTGGTTTATTTCGAAACCATAACCCGCTTTATTTAATTGTTTCCCATATTTTTTCTTACGTTACCTAGAAAGCAATGATTGAAATCGATATAATTGTTGCAGGTCGACTTTTTGGCGGCATCACCGGTATCAGCGGCGTATTCTCCGGACGCATGCGCAAGTTAAGCGCGTCAGGGATCCCGGACAACAAGCACGGACAAGTTGGCAAGAGCACGGAAGTCTAAACACTGCACACCGGACTTCGCTGTCGGGTAAAGTCGGAAACATTCGGATAACCGAACGTCTTCGGGACCCACGATTTCAAATACCGAACATTAAACGAATGCGTTCGGCCAGATTCGTTTTCTTTGATTTGTATTCGAGAATTGGTTTGGGTTTGATGGTGGTTGACGTACACTTATCCCTATATTGTGATGGGTTAACGGTCAGGTACCTCATTTTCTTAGTGCCATCTTATTTTCAAGCACTCTTTATTAAGTATGGAATTGATTATAATGATTGAATTCTGCTTTAGTTTATCTTTTGTGATATTCGCAAATAAAGTTATGCCGTTTTTGGTTTTGTTCAGGTTCATCTTCGGAGACTATAGAGTTCTAGTTTCAACGAAGATTTATTTAATGTGCATAACGTTTTTTGTGGGTACCAATATATGCGACTGTACATCATAATTTTTACTCATGTAAAAATTACTGTCAATGATTTTTTTCTCATAATACCATAGAATTTAATATATGGTTTTGTATCTTTGTGGTACAAAATATGGGTTGGTTACGGGTGATAGGCATTTCGGTAATGTACTTCGATTATTTGTATTGAAAATTAAGTGCCAAGAGATATGGTACTCGAATTTATTACTATATACAATGATACACTTGACTATGATACAATTCTTTACAGAAGAGCATAAAAAGATCGAAATTATAATAATCTTGTAATTTACAACACGGCTTTAATTTGTTGAACATAGCCGTGATGCTAATGTAGACTTTAGAATTTGTTTCTTCAAAATAAGACGTGGTTTGTTCCTAAAATGATATTGAAGGTAAAAATATTTTCGTAAGAAAATTAAAAGGACAGACAAATAAACCTTATTTATTAAAAGAGGTGTTATTATGACAAAACGAAAGATGTATGAATCGAAAATAATTTGGGTCCACATATTGGAGATAGATTTCTAAGAAGTTGGACAAAATCACTGTCTCTATTCCTGTGTCTAACGAATTTGGTTACAAAGGCACGTTAAATATACTGCACAAAGATACTGGTAACTAACAAGTATGGCAACGAATTAAATTAATGGACTGGCAAACTTACAATTTTCAACTAGCAACACTGAACTTAGCCTTTTTAGACTTGACTTTCATTGCCCAGGATTAGTGAGAGTGATTCGAGATGTAGCGAAACGTTAACGGAGTGTATACCAAAATATGATAGGACAATCAATTCTATTCAAAATTGGGTAAAAAAGGTATTCACTTATAGCAACACATAAAAATTCAGTGCATGTTACCAACCAGAAAGTATTATAAACATTACTTTAAATAATATTAATGAATAAAGAATTTTATCTTAGATATTCATGATATTTTCTTTAGGATAATTGTACATACGTTTGGAATAGCGAATGCAATAGAGAATAAAAACACACAAATAAATTAATTTCAGCACAAAGATACATATTTAGGAATCACAGTTAAAGAATATATTTATAATAAAATAACGAATTTATTCACTATTGTTGATGAAATTTATTAGAATAGGCGATTTGAGAAATTTTAAAATAGACTAGTGCCCTTATCCGATATAAAGTTTAATGACGTCTAGTCGACATCGGTGCATTTTCCAGTGTCCATAAATAAAAGCTATAAAAATAATATTATTAAGATAAACCTATATCTTCCAAAACTATGTACGATTTTCTGTATTCAACTAACTTGAAGGCTGCTTTTCATTTATATAAAATGAGTGGATTATACACATACCTTAATGTTACCAATACGACATTTCCTCGTATTTTATCCTAACTTTAACTTAATAGTCTAAGTGTAATGTTGGTCGGTGCAACGTGCGTATACGCAGAGATTTGAGCACGTTCACGTATAAACGAACATTCAAGAACGCAGTTGTGTAGTGTTAGTAATTGTCCGTTAAATTGAATGCATTGGGCATATTGTAGTTAATGTCCCTATGAAGTACCATTTACTATTATTTCTTCGACAACCATTATTTAAATCCTATATTTATCTTGAAATATCTTTAGGGCACATAATTTATAATATTTGACTCCTACCTATCTGGTATTTGAGATTTACAAATATATACCTTTTCGTTGTTTTTTCAAATGGAAACTTTAATTTGCAAAAAATAAACTGCTCTATACAATTACATTGTTGATAATTCGTTTATGACAAATACCGACCAAGTTAATAATGTTGACTAATTTAATGTAGCTACTGTTGACTTTGTGCCGGTTATTTAGGCTTGTTGTTTCTACTATTTGATACGTGGGTAGATAGAAAAAAAAACGACTCGTTATAAGTAAGGACTATGGGTTTTTATAACTACCTTCAATTCTCAACGCACGTCTCATGAATACGTAAAATGTCTTGTGCTTAATATGAACGTCGAATTTGAGTGATCAAAATTTAAATAGAATTGAAACTAAGAATAATAATAAACAGATGTCACCTAAACATAACAACCAACAAACACTTTTCCAGATTCGCATATTGAAAAAAAGTCACTCTCCTAATACTTAGCAAGAATACTAGTAATGGATGAGCCCGTTTGCTATTATTACTTATCAAATAAATTATAATTTTAAAAAATCACCAGATTCTATGACGTCACTACTAAGTACGCCTGCTTATATTAGTAACTACTGTCCAACATAAATATTTGATTATGAATCTCTACGTAATAATAATTCACAATTATTTTCATTCGTCATTCATGTAGTACAGTCGACCACGCTTCTTCTGTTCATTAATTACATTACTTTCACTTTATTTTATTTACTTTCATTTATATACATAATATATGTAACTGTTTATCTCATAACTTAAGTCTTTTAGCCTTTGACTGTAGTGTGACCGACTGTATCTAAAGTGTTCTTCATCTTCCTAGGTCTAAAAAAAATATTGTAATGCATGACAAAGTAAAAGGAATTGATGTAAAAATGTTTCTTCGTTGAATTTTGAAGCTAATGTGTATTGTAATAGTGACCTTTTTGAATTCAAATTATTATTCCATAAAGTTTGGTCGAGAACCTCAATTGTAATGTTTGTAAGCGTATTTCAAGCGAAATGCGCATTTATTGTAATAGGGATATGATATGATTTTGTGGTGTCGTGGTGTATTTCTGTCAAACATTTCAGCTTTAGATATGTTTTACTGCATTAAAACTATATTTTTCTAATACAAAAGTGGTTACAGAGAACAGCATACAACTTTGTTCTAAGCTACATTAGTGAATCAATAAAATTGAATGGTGGACAGTCTTGTGTCGTTTACATAATAACGAAATACCTGCAGTAAAATATATATTTTCTCTTTTGTACATATTTCTAATTCTTTTCATCATATTGTATCTAACTTAACAATAAAACTTCCTTGTATCAGTTTACACCAACATGTCGTCTAACAAATCGGTCCGCGAATGGTCGCTTACTGTAATATATATTTTAAATAAGAAATGCACCACGAAATGCACGTTATATGTATGAGATGAGATAAACTTGAATAGCTTCTGTAGATTTCGCTTGACGCCAAAGATGTAATTATTTTGTGTTCACACTTGATAAACCTTAATAAACAGTTTCCTATGGTTTATAACTACCATACTTATGGGGTTACTTAAACCTTTGTCATAAGACGGTGTAGTTTTATTCGTAATTGTCTTTATTAAAAAAAACTATATTTTATGTGTATTTATCTAAAAAAATAGATCTTTCTTCAAATTATGTGCCTCGTTTTTTTGCAGTCGGTTATATCGAAAACAAATGAAAATAACAACTGAAGTGTCCTGTCAAATCTGCAGGGTTTTCTTAGCAAGACCATCCCAAAATATGTTTCAAAGTTGCGAGAAACTTTTTATCTTTCTTGAACTATCGTTTTAATTCATTCCTTCATTGAACACTTACGAATAAATCTACTTATTTATATTTAGTTATACATATTATTAAGTTAAGGTTTTCAATTCTGTAACATATACCCACTAACTTATTATAAATGTATGTATATTGAAGAGTTTTTTCTAATATATATGTTTTTAGGTTGAAAAAATTGTTAAAACTAGATATTAAGCAATAATGCGCGATCTACGTATTGTATCATAAATGAACTTGTTGAGAGTTGCTACAACTAAGTCACTTAATAATAGTTTTATTTAAAACATAAAACGATGAAAAATGTATTTATTTATTAAATATGAATTAACATTCATGGGTAAGCATTGTTTCATTTTATATCCTCCACTCATATAACCAACGCCATACTACCTGGACAATGGCCCTAAGTACTGAGTCTCTTTATGTATTGACCATTCTTAATAGGGATATGACACCATCGTAAATGTCAAATGTCATGAATTTAAGAATAAGAAAAACTTTGTCTTTTATATAGCATTCTTAAAATAAGTAACACTACCTACTTGAATAATAATACTTAAACACAAAATGGTCTTGGACACAGCATATGGATGTCAGTTCAAAGCATGCCATCAGCTGTTATTCTGTCCAAGCCAATCACGGTTAACAGACTTAGAATAATCACAACGAAAACACCCTGACCACGTTTGTGTACATAATTATTATCACTAGTATGTACCAGAATATTTCAGAGACATCTTCAACAGCCTTTAATAGTCCACTCTGGACATAGGCCTCTCCTTAGAAAGGAGGTTTTGGCCTACTATACCACGCTGGCCAGGCGGGATGGTATATGGTTTGTATCAAGTTTTCCTTCTGTTGCTGTTGCCCTGATTTTTTTATGGAAGAGGGGGCAGACGGGTCATCTGATAGAAAGCGACTACCGCCGCCCATAAATAACTCAGGAGTCCCAAGCGCGTTGCCGGGCTTTGAGGAAGGAGTGCGCTCTTTTCTTTAAGGTTTGGAGGTCGTATCGGTCCGGAAATACCGCAGACGATAACTTGTTCCACAGATTGGTTGTGCGAGGCAAAAAGTGTCTTGAAAAGCACACAATAACTTGCATAGTTTGCTCTTAT